AAGCGTTACGCCTTCGCTTCTTCCCTCCAGAGAGAGGAGGCAATCCCATAACCGGTTCCAAATATAAAACCCCTTGTGGGCCTACCTCTCTAACGGTATCAGTCTTACCTCTTCGTTCCTGAACCTGGGCTCACACTCATCGACGTGGCACCCCGGTACTTACTACGTAAAGGCCGATGATCTCCTGGGCGAAGCAGTCCAGTGGCGCCAAGATGAAGGGATGTCCATGCAGAAGTTCAGGGGTGCTGCAGTAGAGAACATTGGTAAAAGGTTTACCATCTCAAATCTCTGCGCCAGCTTCCGTGCGATGAGGTTCCCGGACCCAATGCACCAAAGATGTAACCAAGTAAACTTGCAGAAGCCAGACACAGAGAGATGGATGCAGGTTTTCAGGAAGTAAGAGGTCTTTATTAACATACCGATCGGGCCTCAGATGAACTAATAAGTAGAGTTGAGCTGACACCTAAATGTTCGGGTTCGGCAGATTCGGACGAACTTCGAAAAAAGTCAGAGTTCGGGATCGAACTTGAACTCGAATTTGACCCTGAACTCCATTGAAGTCAATGGGGACCTGAACTTTTAGGCACTAAAATGCCTCTAAAAAAAGTCCTGGAAAGGGCTAGAGGGCTGCAAAATAGCACTAGATGGAATCTTTGAATTTAGCTTTGGAAGAACATAAATGAAAATCTAAAGCATGGTTGTCAGGAGGATCACCAGAATTATCCATTTGAGAGAGGGTTGGAGTGCAGGGTATTCTCTTTCATTGTTCAAATTGAGCTTAACTCCTGATGCATGGAGAAAAGGCCTTCACAAGCCTCTTCTATTATGTACATAGTTTATACTAAGTGACCCATAGGTTGAGGAGGCTGTGACCGTGGCGGTGTAGGTGGAAGCAGCGGTGGATGAGGAGGAGGTAGCCAACACTGTTTTTTATATATATATATATATATTTTTTAATTGGTAGCCCCAAAATATTGGGACATATAAAAAAGAAACATTTGCGGCCTGTGGTGCATTTCTTGCAGTCCTGATGCATGGAGAAATGCTCAACTCCTGATGCATGGAGAAAAGGCCTTCACAAGCCTCTGCAATTGTGTACATAGTTTATACTAAGACACCCATAAGTTGAGGAGGCGGTGACCGTGGCGGTGAAGGTGGAAGCAGCGGTGGAGGAGGAGGTGGTAGCCAACACTGTTTTTTATATAAATATATATATTTTTTAAATTAGGGTGGCCCACAAAATATTGGGACATACAAAAAAAGAAACATTTGTGGCCTGTGGTGCATTTCTTGCGGTATGATAGCATTTCAAAGGCCAGGAATCCCGGGTGGCTAGGGGGGTACTTCCTCTTTCTCTCCAGTGTTTGGGAGATGGACAGCTGAATGCTTCCATGGGACGGTGTGGAGGTGCTGGACAATTGTGTACCTGGCCTATGCTGGCGCAGGATTCCACCCTCCGAGCCACTTGTGAATGACTGGCCTAATAACCGTGGAAATGACCCCTCTTCCTCCTGTGCCACATCCTCTTCCATCATCGCCCGAAGTGTTTTTTCAAGGAGACATAGAAGCGAGATAGTAAGGCTGAGAATGGCGTCATCGGCACTGGTCATGTTGGTGGAGTACTCGAAATAGCACAACATGGCACACAGGTCTCGCATGGAGGCCCAATCATTGGTGGTGAAGTGGTGCTGTTCCGCAGAGTGACTGACCCGTGCGTGCTGCAGCTGAAACTCCACTATCGCCTGCTGCTGCTCGCACAGTCTCTCCAGCATGTGCAAGGTGGAGTTCGTCGCTTATGAGGCGGTGAGCGGGAAGGCCAAAGTTACGCTGCAGCGCAGACAGGCGAGCAGCAGCAGGGTGAGAACACCGAAAGCACACACAGACGGCACACACTTTCTGCAGAAGCTCTGATATATATGGGTAGTTTTTCAGGAATTTCTGCACCACCAAATTCAGCACATTCAGGCAAGGGATGTGCGTCAAACCGGTTAGGCTCAGAGCTGCTACGAGATTTTGCCCATTATCACACACCACCAGACCGGACTTGAAGCTCAGTTGCAACATCCACTCATCGGTCTGTTGTTCCATGCCCGTCCACAGCTCCTGCACGGTGTGGGGTATTTCCCCCAAACATATGAGTTTTAAAACAGCCTGCTGTCATTTCCCCCTGGCTGTGCTGAAGTTGGTGGTGAAGGTGTTACGCTGACCGGATGATGTGGAGATGGAAGCGGAGTAGGAGGAGAAGGCAACAGGAAGCATAGCTGTGTACCCAAATAAAGATTGTCAAATGTATTCTGGAACGGTGTCCCATCCGGTTACTGGGGAAATGAGTCTGACCTATTCTAATCAAAGGGGATAACCATCGGTTACCCAGGTCCCGCTTCAGTCGGTGGCAAGCGGCGGGATCCCATGTCCCTGCCAACAGACCCATGGACTACAGTACTCTAAAGTGACCTACAGTGCAGGACTTGTGTGGAGCCAGAGGAATAATGCCTGGTGGCCGTAACAAGGCCGAATTGACTCATGGAGGACGACACAGTGAGGCAACTAACCCCAGCCAGGGGCCGCAGATGAGGAGGAAGTGCGCAAGGAGGTGGAACGGCACCTAACATATTACCGAGAGCCACCGTCAGAGGAGATTGTCAGCAGGACCTTTTTGGTGGTGCAAGTCTATGTACCCAGATGAAGGAAGAAGGGAGCAGAAGGTGCCGGGAAGCACAACCACCCTGGCCCACAAGCTACCATACAATGCATTCAAAGAGTTCAAGGAAGCAGAAGAAGGCATCGATGACTTTTTACAAGACTTTGAGCGCCAGTGTCTACTCCAAGACGTGGACCCCAGTGACTGGGTCACCATCTTGGCCAGCAAACTAGTGGGGAAGGCAGTGGATATTTGGATAGAGCCCTGTGAAGAGCACCTCAACCTGATACGTTGCTATGAGGGCGACGCCTACCTTGAGGAGGTAAATAGCGGTTGGTCTGGTATGGCCCAGACCCTTCAAACGAGGTGGTCTTCCAAGTAATGCACCAGTTGAGTGCTGAAAACCATGCGGCAATGGACTTTGAGCAAAACTGTGGAGGTTGAGGATATGGACACGCAGTCTCCAGCGGCAGTGTGAATCCCAGGGAGCTGAAGGTGTCGTCCTTGCCCCCCCAGCAGCAGTGTATCCTACAGGGAGCAGAGACAGTCGGTCTCTCTCCTCAGCAGCAGGACAATGTTATGGGAGTGGAGACAGTCGGTCTCCCTCTCTAGCGGCAGCCTGTGTTCAAGGGAGAGGAGCACAGCACCCTCTCTCCCCAGCGGCAGCTTATCCTACCAAGGGGAGACACCAATCCCCCAGACGGCGCAGATGGGACCGTGGTCTCTGTGCCTGGCCCACAGGGATGCTGGACAGCCGGTCCAGATCCCCAGCTACCAGGAATACCAGGAGGAGGGGGTAAATGAAGTCTCCCCTCTCCAGCCAGATCCCCACCAGGCTACCCCAGCAGAAGCACTGGCATCAGGGCAGAACGCAGCTGGCCTCGGCCCCCAAAGCCCAATTACCCAATTACCTCAGAGGAATACCCAGGTGCAGTAACTGTTTGTTGTGGGTGGGCTACTCTGGCAATTGATTTTTGTGGGTGGGTGTATTGACTAACGGAGGCACTGACCGACAGAAGGTCAGATGCCTGGTTAGTCTTCCCCCCAAAGGGGAGATGTGTTACGAAGTGCACTTCGCCACTTGGTCCTGGAGAGGCCTGCTTGCCAGCCTCCTGCCCTGCGACTATGGCCCCTGGGAGATTGTACCTGTTTAAACCAGCATTTGGGTTTATGGACTTTTATTGTACAGTGCTGGCCCTTTAAAACAGTGTATGGACATATTGAAACTTTTTGGACACTTTTTCTTCCCCTTTGAATCCCTGGGAAGGTGTGGCTCTTCCCCTTCCCCAGCTCCATTGTTCTCCAGCAGGGAGTTGTCCCAGGGACACTGCCAGACCAGTGGGAACTGGTTTGGGCAGGAAAAGCCATGCTTGCAAGTGATGACAAAGGACTTCGACCTAACTTTTAAACCCCTGAACCTATTCAAGTGAATTTTGGATATGTTTGTCCCCAAGTTTTATGTATGTATGGTGTAAACTCACACAGTGATAGAAATGTATAAAAAGTGTAACTTTTCAGCTTGGAGATAATTGAGTAGATACAGTAATTGACTCGATTATCTCCTAAGCAGAGGGGAGGAATATGATGGGTGTGTTTCTATTGTCCCATTGTGTCTGATTGGCTGCAGTACTTGCATTGTATGTGTTGTAATGTGTTTATTGGTTGTTCTGAAAAACCCGATGGGTGGTACTATGTGTGGAAAACCTGCATAAAAGAAGGCCCTTTGGTGCCAAGTAATACAGTTCTTCTTCACCCTCAATCTAGAGTCTTGTCTCTTATTGGGAGAATTGCTATATCACTACAAGGGTTTGCTATGCTCTGCATGCTCCCTTAGATAATCACTTCTAAGCTTTTTTAAGAGCTTGTTCCTGTCTTGCTCTCAGAAGGAGTCTACGGTAGTTATGGTGTCGGCTGGATTGCTCAAATAATGGAGGTGCCAGGTGATC